GGAATGAACCAGTGGATGGAAGATCCATCTCTCTCTCTGCCTCTCTCATTCCCTCCCTCCCTCCCTCTAACTCCCCCTTTTTAAATAAATAAATGAATCTTAACAGAAAAAGAAACCATAGAGGCCATAAGGAAGTGCTCAAGCCTGGAAAGAAAAGAAATGCCCACTGAGAATAGTCCTCCTTGTCTCCTCCATCAGTTCCCTTTTCTTACTTCTTTATCCAGCAGACTTTAGACTTCATTGCTTCCATCACTGTGTAAACAAAATGAACAACTCTCTTACCCCATTTTCCTTCCACCGTGCTGAAGTGGCAAAACTTTAACCTTGAGTAAATACCACTGTCTTTTCTTCCCTAAAAGTAAACTACTGAGCATTGCTAAGGATCATCACATGTTCTCAAAGATGGATGCCATATAACTTCAGGTTTTGTAGCCCAACTTGGCCTTCAATACCACCACCCTCCCCTGTTGCTATCTCTTCCATTTCCACATTGATTATTTCAAAGTTTTACAATTCTCTGCTGTTGCTATTCCTCTCTCACTTCCAGCAGGTATCTTTTCTTCCCACTTCAGAGAGCACAGAAACCACTGAGCGTGTCTTTTGATTTCTTCTTACGCTAAAAACTCACCTGCAGCTCCATTTATCCTCTATTATTCTTCCTGTTAAAATGGACAGGTATGCCCCCTCCCCCACCCCCGGCTAAGGCTGGCCCCTTTGCTGATACTCCGATACATCTATCAATTTGCAGATCCCCATAAGCATCTAAACACACTAGGTTCTGCTTATCGCAGCTCCATCTCCTTTTTTCTCCTTCACAACCAGACTTTTTGGGAAGCCTCGTCTACATTCACCATTCACGTTTCCATTCCCTACTTGTTCCTCAGTTCATTCCCACTCACTGCCCCATAGGCTGTCATTCAGAAAGCAATCTGTTTTTTTGCCTTCACTGGAACTACTCTTACTTCCTTACTGCTAAACTCAGTAGTCACTCCGTATTCCTTATTTCATGGACTTCGTGGCAGTACTTAATGTAACTCACCACTCCTTTGAAATACTCTTTAATCTGGCTTCTGTAACACACTCTCCTGATTTTTTCCCTACTTCTCTGACTGCTTTGTCTCGGTTACCTTTGATGTGTGTTCGAGGAGGATATTCTTTATGCCTCCTAGAGAGAGGTTTTCCTTAGGTTTCTGCCTACAGGTGCTTTTATCAAGCAACATACCGGTAACTTTTGTTACCATCTACTTGTAAAGGATTCCCAAATTTACCTCTTTTCCAGAGGTAAATTCCTGAGTTCCAAATCCTTAAATCCAATTGTGTGATGACTGTCTCCAGCTGGCTATTCTAACGACATTTCAAAGTCAGTGTGCCAAAAGCTACACTCCTTTTTCTCCTTCCTCAAAATTATTCTCTAACTCAGTGAATGACACCATCAAATCAAAAATTAAGTTATCCTTAACCTCTTTCCACAGCCAAATCACTGTCTACTATGCCTTCTTCCTCATTCTCCATACTCACCACTCCTTAAGTCCTATTGATTTTCTTCCTCTCAATTCCATGGACTTTGCTCTATCTCCACAAATATCATCATCTATCACCTAGATTACCCCCTAACTGCTACCTTCATTCTTTTTTTCTAAAGATATATTTATTTATTTGAAAGGCAGAGTTACAGAGAGGCAGAGGAGGAGAGAGAGGTTTTTCATCCACTGGTTCACTACCCAGATGACTGCAATGGCTGGAGCTGAGCCGATCTGAAGTCAGGAGCCAAAAGTTTCTTCCAGGTCTCTCACGCGGGTGCAGGGGCCCAAGGCCTTGGGCCATCTTCTACTGCTTTCCCAGACCATAGCAGAGAGAGCTGGATTGGAAGTGGAGCGGCGGGGTCTCAAACTGGCGCTGATATGGGATGCCGGCACTGCAGGCAGTGGCTTTACCTGCTACGCCACAGCGCCGGCCCCCTTCATTCTTTTTTTAATGTTTATTTATTTTCATGTACTTGAAAGAGTCACACACACACACACACACACACGCAGAGACAGAGAGAGAGAGACAGAGAAACTTCTACCCACTGCTTCATTCCCAAAATGGCCAGGATCAGGCCAATGCCAAATCCAGAAGCCAGGAACTTTATCCTCATCTCCCACATGAGTAGCAGGGGCCCAAGCACTTGAACCATAATCTGCTGCCTCTCAGAATGCCTCAGTAGGAACCTGGATTGGAAACAGAGTAGTTGGGAATAAAAGTGACACTCTGATATGGGATGCAGGCATCCCAAGTAGCAGCTTAACCTGCTGTGACACAATGCACATCTTGCTACCTTCATTCTTGCACCAACAATCTATTTTATAAAGAGCAGGCAGAGATTTTTTTAAAGAACAAATCTATTTTTGTCTTATCCGTGTTTCTAAAAGCTGCAGTAGTTTTCTATCACCTAAGTTTCCTACTCATGTCCTTTCACAACTGGGTCTTCACTCTCATCACCCCTTCCCCATTTCCTCTCTTCACATTCTATGCCACGGTTGGAACATTCAGCCCACAGGCTGTAGGAAGCCTGCAAAATCATTTGGTCTGGCTCTGCCACAACAACCACAGGCAGGACTCAGAATTCAATAAATCTATAGCAGGCCAATGTTTAAGTTGATAATTTTATATCACCATTGAGGTCAAGATTGAGGTCGACTTTTAGGACTTCAAATAAATGATGCTTTCTCTTGTACATGCCATCACCATCCCCCTGAAAGTTATTCTTCAGTCTTTTGCCTTGGCCTTTGATCAGTCATATTTCTTTTTTTAACTTTTATTTAGTAAATATAAATTTCCAAAGTACAGTTTATGGATTACAATGGCTCCCCCCCCCATAACTTTCCTCCCACTCGCACCCCTCCCATCTCCTGCTCCCTCTCCCATTCCATTTACATCAAGATTCATTTTCAATTATCTTTATATACAGAAGATCGATTTAGTATATGTTAAGTAAAGATTTCATCAGTTTGCACCCACACAGAAACACAAGGTGTAAAATACTGTTTGAGTACTAGTTATAGCATTACTTCACATTGGACACCACATTAAGGACAGATCCCACATGAGGAGTAAGTACACAGTGACTCCTGTTGTTGACTTAACAATTTGACACTCTTGTTTATGGCGTCAGTAATCTCCCTAGGCTCTAGTCATGAGTTGCCAAGGCTATGGAAGCCTTTTGAGTTCACCGACTTCGTTCTTATTCAGACAGGGTCATAGTCAAAGTGGAAGTTCTCTCCTCCCTTCAGAGAAAGGTACCTCCTTCTTTGATAGCCCCGGATCAGTCATATTTCAAGACTCATTCACTTTAAGACTAATTTTTGGTTCATTGGTCTGGGCCAGGGCCTGAGCTTTGTGTTCCTATATCGTCTAGTCTGCTTTGTTTCATTATCTTCCCCCAGCAGACTGTGTGGGCCAAAGAACAGCAACTGTGTCTTATTTTGTATCCTTATTATCTACCTACAGTACTCAGCACATGGTAGATGTGCAATTTATAGATGAATGTGATTGTATATGGACCTGAGTAAGTGCTGGCTGTGAAGGTGGACACAGGAAAGCACTACGAGTAAAGGAGAGAGAGTAGCATATGGCAGATGCACTGACTTCGCACAGTCCTAGCTACAGGACGCAGTGTGAACCAAGTTGTGGAAACAGGCGCAGGAAGGAGTTCTTCAGAAGGAAGCCCAGTGTCTTACGGCAAGGCTCCTCGTCCCCGACGAAAGAAGGCCGCAGCCTTGCTCACTGTGGCAAGTATCCCTGCCAACTACCCCAATCAGTGGGGTGGATTTTTATCTGCTTTGATCATTGATGTCAACTCCTCCTCTGATAGAGCTTTAATTTGGACCATTTCATCTCCACTGTCATTTATCAAGATAAATGTCTTTTCATCTGTGGCTCATAAGTGGATTAATTAGCTTCCCATTTCATCTATTATAGAAATACCAGAACTGTATCACTTAAAAGTCATGTAATGTACCTTCCTAGTGCTCTCCTCCCCTACAGCAAACTACAGCTATGATCCAGCTTTGTGGCTTTTGTTCTTGCCACCATGATCATGTCTCTTTCCCCACCATCCCGCTAATATATTCTCCCCCACCATTCCGCTAATATATTCTTCCCCATCATCCCGCTAATATATTCTTCCTGCTTCTGACACTATATCTCTTGAGGGAGAATCCTGGACTGAGAGCTTACTCTAAAGTTTAAAGCAAATTTTAAGTGGGCATAAAATTCAGGGGCTCCAAGCTAGCAAACTAATCTCCTTCTAAAAACATTTACAAAGATACAAGTTTGGTTATTTCTAGACTGTATTTCCCCAATTTATTGATGAGTGCATCCTTTAGTAAGGCAGTTAAATAAAAATTGATATCTATCATTTCCTTTTGATTATTGACTTTTAGGCTTTTGTCCAAACATAATTTGATTGCATGTGCTTGTTTTTGTGCCAAAGCATAGCACTGCATTTGTTCAAAGCCTCAAAGATTTCTGTGAAAGATACTTTTTGTGAAAAAGCAAAAATATAACAGTTAGAAGACAAGATTATTTCCCCCATATTAAAAAGTGAAAGAGAAAGTTTTTCAAAATGTAGCTATCAGACACAATGTTAAATAAAAACAGCAAAAAACAACATCTCTGGAGGGTATGATCTTAGTTACATAAAAATATAAATATGTATGCATATAAAAAAGAAAGAAAAATTGAGATAATCCTAGTGAGAATTACAGGTTATGATTATCCTTTTATGTTTCTCCATGCTTTCTAAATTCTCTGTAAAAAGCGTATTTTTTTACAAAGAAAGAAAAAATGTTAAAAATGTTTAAAAAATATAATAACACATCAAAAGACAAACTCCTTAGAGATGGGTTATGACTAATTTTTTCCAGTCACATAATTTGGAATGAATATCAAATTCTTACAGTGATCAAGATAAATAAAATGAATCCTAAGTCATTGATAAGAGATTTTACTCTATTTACCAGAGTTCCTCTCTTTCTTCCTTTGGATTTTGAATCTCTATTTCCAAAATTGATAATTTAGACACAAGATCTTTACAGGTATTCTCACTTGTAATTAAATTTGCAGTTTTCCCCCCGAGAGTAAAATGATTTAAATTTTCAAATTCTTGTGAAAGCTTCAAGACCTGTAAAGTTAAGTAAAAAGACAAATATTCTATTTTGCATATTGTTATGTATAGCTGTGAAAAAAACTATACTGGTTATATTAAATGCTTAATTATTGCCTTAAATAGCATAAACTGATGTACTAATTGAAGTTTCATTCCAGGTTAATACTTTGTAGTTGTTATATAAATTAATCCATTTTTACTATAGGCATAAAAGTGTATACATTGGTGTTTTGAGTTTTATTTTACCGTTTAACAAGCAAAATGATGCTATCTGTAAAGTTCTACACTATTTCCACACTTCTTTGTTGTCAAGTTTCAAATGTACTTTGCTGACTCCTAAAAGCAAGAATGCACTGTTGTAAAAGAGAACATTAGAAAAACTGGATACACGCAAGACAGAACAACCGACTATTGAAAACACACGAACTAGTAAAGACTCCCAGACTATCTTAGTGGCTATCATAGTGGCTCTCAAACGTTAGCATATAAAAGCATCACCTGAGTAGTTTAGTAAGGGCACTGTTGCAGCCCCAACCCCAAGATTCCATCAGAGAAGTAGGGTGGGAGAAGAGATCCACCCTTGAAACGAGTCTCCCAGGGAATTCTGATGCAAGCTGATGCTCTCAGTCACTGCCTTGTGTGTGACTGGGAAAAGCATGTGTTCAGGTTTTGTTTGTTGTTTATTTGTTTTGTATAAATAGATTCTCAAGATTCTTTTCCTCAAAGGTTACTCTTTATACTTTCATATAAAATGAAAGACAACTTCCTTCAGGCAGTAGAAGGGATGGGTAGGACCTGGTCCTAGGAACAGCAGAGGGATCCCCATCAAAGCATTGCACTAAAGGAGGCAACAGCATTCCTAGCTCAGACCCTGAGTCTCTCTGGAAATGCAGTTTCTTTTGTAACTATGTATGATTTTAAGAACAGATTGGTTTACATTCTAAAGATCAATTTAATTTTATTTTACGAGTTCTTTAAATTTGGTTTCCTATGCCTTTTCAGTTCCCTGAAGAGAAACTGCAGTGTTCGATTGTGGTCTATAATCTCAAAAATCTCACACGGACTATAACCTTCGCTGGGGAGAAGGTTGGCTTTAACTGGGTCTTGGGGCACGGCATGATATAGATGGGTGAAGAAGAGACTATGAACAGCACATTCTAAGCTTGGGAGCAATGTAGTCAAAGGAACTAGCACAGAGTGAGTGAGAGTAATCTGTGGAGAAAGGAATAGAGGCTACAGGAGGAGAAGCTGAGGAAACAACGCGAGGCTGAGCGGAGGGATCAGATTATGAAAGGCCTCGAAAGACAACTTTCAAAATGAGCTGGCATTACTGTAAGCAAGAAAAAGGTTTCCAAAATGTGACTTAATCACTGATTCTCTGGTCATTGTGAAAAAAAAAGAGAAGTAAACATTACAGATAATAAATGTTCAGTTCTTCAGAAGTAAAGGATGGCAAACAGTGGAGTTTAAATTTGATGTGAAAACTGCTGAAGGTTTCTGAAGGGGATGGTGACAATAATACACTTCTGGGTATTCTGAATTTTTGCATGACAAGCTTGCTGAGTAGAGACTTTGTTCTTTATTGCAAGGAAAGTTAAAGTTACAGGATCTTCCATGACTTGGACATTGTGGAACAGGCCAGCTCTGTTCCACAGGTTTCTCCTTGTCAGGATGATATCTTAATGAATAACAGCTCAACCTAACAATCAGCCATGTTTAAATACTATAAAAATTAAACTGATCATTCCATTTTCTGATTGAGGGCTTGGGGTGGGATAGAAAGTGCATAGGCTGAGAATCACCAAGTAACTTGGCAGTGGGTTAGTATTGTTGGGCCTCAGAGTTCTCATGTATCAGCTGAAGGAGTTGACCTACATGATCTCAGCCCTTTCAGCTTGAACTTGGAGCCTGGGTATTGTGATCCAAACAAAAGACAGGCACTTCATCAAATACTTAAGACTCAACCTGTTTAGCCACACCTAGCAAACCAACCTTTAAGTCTAAACCATCCTCAGTTTCGTAGAGAAAATGGAATATAATGAATCAAATATTCAAAACAGGAACTTTTTAAGGGATAAAAGTTTGATGGGAAACAAAACACATATAGTCTCAAAAGTAATCTCCTGAACATGTACTAATTGCAAAGGTGGAGAAATCTATCAGACAGTGCCTTAACCTGAGTTGTGTTGTGAGGAGACATCAGACAAAGCCAGCTGAGAGACATTCTTCACAGTCAGTGGTCTATACCTGTTATGGCCTGCGTGCTTGTTTTCCCTCAAGATGTTGCAACCCTAACTCTCAGTGGTATGGGATTTGGAAGGGCTTTGAGAAATGATTAGGTCACAAGGGTAGACCCCTCACGAAGACATTAGCGCCATTTTAAGACAAAACAGGACAGAGCTTGCCTCCTCTGTCTCTGCCCTCAGCCCTCAGCCATGTGAGGGTGCAATGAGAAGATGACAGTGTGCAGAAAGGGAGTCCTACCAAACATGGGATCTGTTAGTACATTGGTCTTGGGTTCCCAGCCTCCACAACTGTGAGAAATAAATGCTGTTTAAGCCACTTGGTTTATGGCATTCTGTTATAGCTGCTCAGACTATGACCGTGCTCTTCAAAAATAGCAAGGTCATGAAAGACAAACACAGACTGAGGAACAGTTGGAGATTAAAGGAGCTTAGGACGTGGCAACTACATACAATTTATGATCCTGCATTAGGTATTCTACTAGAAAAAAACTGTTCATTTGTTAGAAAGTGGGGTAACTGGTAAATCTGAATCCAAGTTGTAGATGTAATAGAAATACTGTGTCACTGTTAATTTTATGATTTTTCAGATTTGTATTGTAGTAACATAAGGTATATTGCTATTTTTAGCAAACACACATGGAAATATTTACAGGTAAAGATTATACCTCTAGGTTACTTTCTAAGGGTTCACAGTGTGTGTGTGTGTGTGTGTGTGTGTGTGTGTGTGTAGGGAGAGACAATAATAAGGCAAACACTGCATCATGCTAACATTTAGAAGTGTGGAGGCTTATGGGAATTCTTTGTAATATTTTGGTAACTTTTGTATAAAGTGTGAAATTGTTTCAACATAAACAGGTTAAAAAACAAGGGAGAGAGTAGGATAGCTATATCTATATTACCAGGATAGTGATCTGGGTTTCTCGATCTTACATTATTACCTTATAGGATACATTATACTCTTCTCACTCCAGTCCCTCCTTTGTGTTAACTTTCCTGATGTTTCTCTGAAACACAAGTTCTTTCCTTGCACACAGTGATAACTCACTGTGTGACAAGGCCCCACAAGCTATGCTTAGTTGCAGGGTGTGCCCTACACATTCACCCTCCCAGGAAGTATTCTGGATCTTTCCCTCCTTACTGTCACATAATCCAGATCTCAATCCTTCAGCAACTTGCTACTTCGTTTCTAAACAACTGCAGATAGGATGAATTAGGCCTTGATCTAGCTCTTCATCTCATACATGACATTAAAATACAACCCAGCATATTTTAACTGTTGCTTTCAAACCTTCATTCCTTGCTACCATTTTAATCTAGATTGAAAGAGTGATTGAGGAAAGGAATTTTCAGCCAGGAGAAGATAACATAATAGGTAGGACTCTATAAATTACACCATAGGTAACCTCTTCATCTACCATTGGACTAACTCTGATCTGGTAGTCATTTTTAAGCTCAGGGAACAAATTTAGGTCAGGACATTTAAGCATTTTCCTAATTTTAAGCATAATCCCACTTCTCACTATAACAGAACTATACTTTTCTAAATTGAAGACATTTAAGTAAACTTTTCACATTGTAATATGTGCTCTAGCAATTAAGTTGTCATGAAGCTGATTTGAAGTTAAAAATTCACACATTAATTCTAAATACCAAGTACTGGTTGAAGTCTTAATATTTGTCCTGAAATACAAATATAACTTGACTTATGATCCACTTTATATGGCAATTTGTTCTATAATAATAAAAGAAGTTTTAATCTCCAAGTCATTTCTTATTGAAAATTATTTCATTCTATCCTACCCTCATTAAAATATATTAAATATTGAAAATTTAAATATTTAACAATTCAATCTCACCTTTGTTTCTAATTCAGAATTCTCTTTCTGTAGCAGGTCATACGCTGTTAAAAAATGGCCTCTGCTGTCTACTGCCCCTGGAAGACTTTGAATTTCATCATACAGGAATGTAAGTTCTGATTTTGATTTTTCTAATTCCTATTAAAAATGAAGATAATTTTTAGAATAAGACTATTTTTTTATTTTTATTTTTTGACAGACAGAGTGGACAGTGAGAGAGAGACAGAGAGAAAGGTCTTCCTTTGCCGTTGGTTCACCCTCCAATGGCCGCCGCGGCCAGCACACCGTGCTGATCCAATGGCAGGAGCCAGGTACTTCTCCTGGTCTCCCATGGGGTGCAGGGCCCAAGCACCTGTGCCATCCTCCATTGCACTCCCTGGCCACAGCAGAGAGCTGGCCTGGAAGAGGGGCAACCGGGACAGAATCCGGTGCCCCGACCGGGACTAGAACCCGGTGTGCTGGCGCTGCAAGGCGGAGGATTAGCCTAGTGAGCCGCGGCGCTGGCTGAGACTATTTCTTCATACAAAGTATAATATTTCTAAAAGTCTTAAAATGGTTCTGATAATGTTTTGTTAAAAAATTTTAATTAACCTTAGCATTCTGTTTCTCTGATCCACAGGTTGAAAGACTGGGTTTCTAGTGTCATTCCTACATTAAGCAAGGTTTGTATAGAGGTAAACTCTTCAGAGACTCCTGTATTAAATGGTTATTATCTGTTTTGAAATGTATTTTAAAAACTACCTTTAACAGAATAATGTGTTATGTGGTTTTCCTTTAATCTTGTGACAATCTTAGCAATGGATTATTGAAACTAAGGCCCGGGGAACTTAAATGACCCACTTAGGTTCACAAAGCCAGGAAGAGGCAAAGCTGAGATTGCAGACCCATGTCTATCTGACTTTAGACTTTGTGCTTTTAAATACAAATTATACTGCCTTATTTAACAGTGTATACCCAGTGACTAGTCCTCTGATTTTCCGTTCATATCCATGAGATGATTTTCATCTTAAGTCAGATGAAGATTTTCATCAAATTTTTACATTGATCATATGGACTATACAGTGGAAGATTAGGGTCTGAGAGTCAGACTGTGGTGTCCAATGAAGGGAACAGGTTACATAAAATTTACTTTAGAAGAACAGCTACTTGGTACTTCCCCAAAACCTTGAAGTCAGAGAGGGAGTGTGCTAATAAGCACTCAACAAAAAGGCAAGATGATAAGGGAGTGTCTTCCCAACACCACAGGAAGGGCAAGTGGTATCAATTTCCTATCTCATTTCATTAGGATGGGATCTGGGACATTATACTGGCTGCCACCCATCCTGCAAACTGATTCAGTATCACTGTGCTCTACACTGGACTTCCACAAACTCACTTCCATGCTTCTCTTCAAAGTATAGATTGATTGTGTCCTAATAGATCTTTCCAATATGAGGTTAAAACAAGAGACAAATACATGAGTCTATGAACACCGTAACAATCACCTGCTATTTGCAGGATTCTTTGACTAGTGCTGGAACTCAGCTTGGGGAAGCAACAGAACTACCTACTCCATTATTGTTACTAGAGGTACACATTCTATAGTGCCATGGACTGAATTGTGGCCACCCCCTTTGTGTGCTGAAGCCCTAATCCCCAATATCAAGGAGGTGATAAAGGTCAAATGAGAATGTAAGGGTGAGTCTCTGACTTGATAGGCTTGGTGCTTTTATAAAAAAGGAAGACACCAGAGCTTCTTCTGTCTCCATCATGTGAGCATAGATCGAGAAGGCAGCTGTCTGCAAGCCAGGAAGAAAGGCCCTCCATAGGAAGTGAATTGTTCCGCAGCTTGAGCTGAGATTTCCCAGCCTCCAAAACTGTATGAAAATTAATATCTGTTATTTTAGCTACTGAGTCTATAGTACCACTTATGGCACCATAGGCTAAGATATATAGTTATAATTTATTTTAAAATAGAAGATAATGTGAAATTCCCAAGTTAGGATTATTATAAGAGAAAAAAAACATCTTGAATGGCAGTACCTCACTTTTAACTTTCAAAGCCTTCTGTATGGAATTAAGACTGCATGCTAATTGCTTTCTCTTCTTTTTCTCTTTTGATAAATCACTTTCAAATATTTCAATTTTTTCTTGGCTCATATTAAATATCTGTAAAAAGCATTTTACACAATTAATTCTACATACAATAGCAGTGTTTCCTATAAATTCTGATAATAACATTTTTCTGCCTAACTCAATTATAAAGTCACCCAGGAAATATGAACTGAGGAAAACTAGGTCAGGGTACCATTGCTCCTAACATGTATTTTTCTCAACAAGCCTGTTCATGCAATGTACAATGTAGTAATACTCATTCTTCCTACATTATAGCCATCACAGAAGGAATAAAATATGATTTTGAAAGTATTTTATAAATTCTAGGTACCTATAAATATAAGGTGTTGTTCAAATCTATCCAAATTAAGTGATAATAATCATCGGAGTAATAATGGTGGCAGCTACTACTTATCAAGAGCTTCCTATATGTTAGATGCTACGGTACATGCTTTACATGAATTATCTCATTTTGTTTTCCCAGGACTCCTATGAGACTGGAATTACTATTACATTCTTTTTCAGAAGAGATAGGCAAGGCTTAGATAACTTAGATAACGTGACCAAGGTCACACAGTCAGTAAGGGGATTCAAATCCAAGTCTAACTTAAAAGTCCTTTTAATATCTACTCTATTCAATTTTGTCAAAGTGTGTTTTCTCTTTTACAAAAATCTGTTAAGGCCGGCGCCGCGGCTCACTAGGCTAATCCTCTGCCTTGCAGCGCCGGCACACCGGGTTCTAGTCCCGGTTGCCCCTCTTCCAGGCCAGCTCTCTGCTGTGGCCAGGGAGTGCAGTGGAGGATGGCCCAAGTACTTGGGCCCTGCACCCCATGGGAGACCAGGATAAGTACCTGGCTCCTGCCATCAGATCAGCGCGGTGCACCAGCTGTAGTGTGCCGGCCGCAGCGGCCATTGGAGGGTGAACCAACGGCAAAGGAAGACCTTTTCTCTCTGGTCTCTTTTTTTTTACTTCTCAATCCGGCCGGGCCCAAAAAAAAAAAAAAAAAAAAAAAATTCTGTTAAGAACTGATTCCTTCCATCCAAAACAGACGGAAGGATTAAGTTCTAGTGTTGTAAAGCACAGTGAGGTGACTGTAGTTCACAATAACCTAGTCTATACTTTATGAATAATTGGAAGAGGGGAGCTTGGAGGTTCTAACTAGAGAGTAATAATAAAGAGAGGCAAATGCCCATCACCCTGATTTAATCAACATACATTGTTGCAGGTAACCGAACGCCACACTGTACCCCCATAAACATGTGTAACTATGTGCTAACCAAAAAATATGTTTTAAGTTTAAGGAGATGGAAATGCTAACTAAATCAATCTGATCATTACACATGTATACTTGTAGCGAATTATCATACTGAACCCAAAAATTATGTACAGTTAAAAACATTTTTAACATACCAAGTAATTAAATTGAAATAAAAATGCAGCTTAGTGAGCAAACTGTGAGAATGGGGACAATTTCCTTGATGACTACCTTGTCATCAAGCAAGCTGTGGACACTGCTCCATGGTGAAAGCACACCTGCCCAGGAAACTAACTGCATGTTAGATTTGGCCAATTAGGAAACAGCATGCAACTGATTCATGTGTACTCTGGAAGCTGGGCAGTGAAGAATGGTGTGACAGCAGGAAGCCCTACCAGTTCTGTACTACTAGCTAACAACAGAGAGACCAGAGCAGTTGCTTCACTTTTAGACCTGGTTTCCTCATGTGTAAAATAGGGATAATGATGCCTGAATCTCTCTCTCTTTTTCTCTCTCTCTCCATGGACACCCCATTCATAGAACAAGTTCTATTATATTATTATCAGATTGTCCTAATTTTTCACTCTTAAATCTTGACAGACTAGTTTATCTGAAAGACATCTTTAGTGGCTCCTTTCTAACTGACTGCTGGGAATGCCTTGGAAAGGGCATTCTGTAACTACTGATCACAATCTTAGAATGTAGAGTTACCATTTCTGGATGTGTGCTTTCTCCTTTTGCCCATTTTCAGTAATTCTTAAGCATCCTTATGGAGTTTACCTTACCTGTATTAGAAAATGTAGCAGAATATTGTCTTTTTAATATCTTACCTCATTCAGATCTTGTGCTTTAATTGTCTCTTGACCTTTCATACTGGTTCTTTTCTGTCTTCCTATAATATTGATAACTTGGGCTCTAAGATGGAAATCTTAATCCAAATAAATCATTAGTTATAATACATACACACATTATTTGAAAAAAAAAAAAATAAGCTACATTCCTTAAGCATCCCTCCCTGAGGGATATACCTATACCCATGAGGTCTCTTCCGAACAGCAGGTTCACCTCCTATCTGGTCCTGGAGCCTTTGGAGATTTGCTTTATTACGGATGTGAGCCTTTGCTGTTGTTTGGCAGCTGAACTGAAGGGAATAAGCATTAGAAACTACACTACAGAACTCTGACTGTTCTGAGTTAATCAAACTTATTAAAACTTTTTACTTATTAAAACTTTCTCATGTTTAACATCCATAAAATAGGACGTAATCCCAAAATGATGAATTGGGAATAATGGGGAATGCTAAGAGAAAAATGAATGCTAAGATTCAGGTACGACTTTCACAGTTCTTCCTGTCCAGCTATATGGACCATAAGCCTAATGAGAATTGTATTGACTTGACAACATTGTACATGGATGTGAAGAAGGATGACATATATTTTTTTCTAGGATGAATCTTTTCCCCTTCATCAGCCACCACCTCTGCTGAATGTTTCTGCAAATCTACATATGACATGCTGAGGCATTCAACACTCAAGGCAAGAATTTTCTTAGCTGTCTTATACCACGTGAGATGCCTCAGAACACGGTAGAGGAAGCACTTCAGCTCTTAAAAACTCTTCAATTCCTTTGTGTTTTCACAGTGTAAGGATGTCATGTGCAGTGGGCACTAGCACAGCATGCTGATTTGATGCCCATGTCATATCAGAGTGCCTGGGGTCAAGTCCCAGCTCTGCTTCTGATTCCACCTTCCTGCTAACATGCACCATGGGAGGCAGCAGGTGATGGCTACCCAAGTGGGATACCTGGATTGAATTTCCTGGCCCTCAGCTTCAGCCTGGTCCAGGTCTATCCTCTGCAGACATTTAGGGAGTGAACCAGCGGATGATCAATCTCTCTCTGCCTCTCAAATAAATAAATAAACAACCTTTTAAAAAAGAATGTTATGTGCTCGCTTTGGCAGCACATATACTAAAATTGAACGATAAAAAGAATGTTATGTATTTTAATGCTATAATTTAAAAAAGATAGCTTTCCCAAATAAGATATATTTGAAATGTGTAATAATTTGCAACATATTGAATACAATAATGTATTCAGGCATTTATATACCTCCTGAGATCACCAACCAAATTTAAAATAGAAAAACACAGGAAAGGTTCAGGAAGTAATATGAGAAATGGACAATGAGCTATAAAGCTTTCCAGGGAGCTGAGAGGAGCCTACCTCACCTGTAGCCAGCAGTAAACAGGAGATGCAGTGCTTTGTTTCAGATTGCCCAATTAGCCACCAAGGACTGGAGAACAACGGTTTAACAGTTCAGAATTTTCCACATTTGGTGTTCTACTACCTGGAAGGTGGGGATCTCCAGTGCTCTGAACTAAACTGTGACTCCCAGGCACCATCTGATGAGTTTTACTGCCAACCCTGTGCACGCTTACTCAGGATGTGCACAGCCAACTGAGACTATGTACAGAATAGAACACTGCCCAGTCATCACTCTATGGGAGGTAGTTTATGTGCTCAGTGCTGGTCATGCAATGGTCCCTGTGGGTTATAATAAATCCCCTCTACATGTCTACACAAGAGGTAGTATAGTGCAGAAAATGAGCACTAGGGCCAGGTAAACCTGGATCAATTCCTGAATCTGATTCTTTCTCTGGTCAAGTTCCCTTAAGCTCTCACAAATGTGAGTGTGAAATGGCAACACTCCTAAATACCTTGGGAGGACTGCTCCAGGGATTCATGAGAGGATGTTTGTAAGGCAAATAGAGCAGACCTTGGCACATTACAGATGCTCAGCATGCTGTGGCTATCATGATTCCTGCCAGACACCTGGCACTCCTTCCATTCTAAGCATTTCTCTGAGAACATGTGTAACAACAGCACCAAGAGGCCCCACTGAGTGGTAAGTCTGCAGGCCAAGATGGGTCAGGAACACAGTTCTATCTCAAGGAGTCTGCTTGATAGAAAGGAGTGCTGTTCTACACTATTCTTCCTTTTTAAGACACAGGGATCCCTTGGCCGGCGCTGCGGCTCAATAGGCTAATCCTCGGCACCGGCACACTGGGTTCTAGTCCCAGTCGAGGCGCCGGATTCTGTCCCGGTTGCTCCTCTTCCAGGCCAGCTCTCTGCTGTGGCCCGGGAGTGCAGTGGAGGATGGCCCAAGTCCTTGGGCCCTGCACCCCATGGGAGACCGGGAGAGACACCTGGCTCCTGGCTTCAGATTAGCGCGGTGTGCCGGCCGCAGAGGCCACTGGGGGGTGAACAACGTAAAGAAGCTTCTTCGTCTCTCTCTCACCTCACTGTCACTCTGCTGTCAGAAAAAAAAAAAATGCCCAGGGATCCCTCTCTTTATTTCAAAGGAATTATTAGGGGAAACACTGTACTAAGTACCCAGAAGTGGAGGCTCCTCTGATTGGTGGGGAGGTAGAAGACCAAGAGATTTTCATCTTTGATGCAATATCAAGGATACCTGGAAACAGCTTAAAAACAAAAACATGGGTCTTGTTCAAGTTGAGCTCTCATATTTATGAATTTGTGATTTTTAAAAAGATTTATTTATTTATTTATTTGGAAGGTGGGGTTACAGAAAGGGAGGGGGCAGAGGCAGAGAGACAGAAGTTTGTATCTGCTGGTTCACTCCCCAAACGGCTACAACAGCCAGGCTGAAGCCAGGAGTCAGAAGCCAGGAGCCAGGAGCTTCTTCCAGGTCTCCCACGTGGATGCAGGGCTGAAGCCCTTGGCCATCTTCCGCTGCCTTCCCAGGTGCATTAGCAGGGAGCTAGATCAGAAGTGGAACAGCAGGGACTCGAACCAGCATCCATATGCCATGCCAGCTCGGCAGGCAGCAGCTTAACTTGCTATGCCACAGTGCTAGCCCTGAATTTGTAATCTTACTTTCCTCATTTGTAAAGCTACACGAATAATATCTACCTCCTAGAATTTGTTAATGATAAATGAGTTAGTCAGTCCTTTAGCAGAGTCATTGCAACATTGCAAACACTTAAACATTAGTGCCTATCTGCTTTAGACAGTGTTCTCCAGATAACCAGAACCAACGGGATCATACATGGGGTGGGAGTGTGTGTGTCGGGGGGAGATGAAGAATTGGCTCATGTAATTACGGAGGCTGAGCAGACAACAGAAAACAAATGACCCAGCTCAAACAGGCAGAGAGAGTAAACTCCCTTGTTCCATCTTTTTGTGCTATTCAGGCCCTCTGCTGATTCTGTGATGCCCCCTTAAATTTGGAATCTGTATCGCAATCTGCTACAGACTCAAAGACTAATCTCTTCTGGAGATGCCCTCACTGACACACCCAGAAATAAAGTTTAACTAGATGTCTGGTATCCTGTGTTCCAATCAAACTGACACATGAAAGTAAACATCACATCATCATTTGACTTCCTTTTGGTGAGAAACAGAAGGGAAAGTCGTTAGCAATCAGGAAGGAATGACCGCAGGAGGCACCCCAGAGCCATGGCAAAGCTGAAGATCCGCACTGAGGACAGCACGGAACCACGTCAGATCTGGGAACGCGCTCTTGGGAAAGGGCTGTGCTTCTTGCCTGCTGATGACAGCACTCGGGTCACTCACTTCTGCTAGGAACTAGCCTTCAGTTACCCGTTATTATTGATATCACCATGGCCTGGTTGCCAGACACAATCCAGGAAGCTCAAGGCTTTTTCTTCATGAATGATTAAAAGAGAACACTGAAGATAAAACCCCATTCAGTTATCTCCTCTTTATTGAGGAAATGACTTTGAAAGATCATTTAACTCTGACTACTGTTTACTGATCGCCTTCTCTGGTAAACATCTTTACAGAGAAGAAACATGCACTTGCAATGTTCCTCATCACTCACTCCAGCTGTCTCTACCTGGGATGAAGAGAAAGGATCTTCAGAGGCAATATGAAGCTTCATTTTACTATTTGGGAAATCCACACATATTTCAAGTCTTGATGTCAAGGAAAAGAAAACTGGTTTACACCACAGCAGAGAGGATTATTAGACATAGGAAAAATAATTATAATACTGCGTGTTAAACATTAGAGAAAAGTGGGGCAGGTATTTAGCACAGCAGTTAAGACACCATTTGGGGCATCCACAACCCATATCTGAATGCCTGAGTTCAAGATCTGGATCTACTCCTGATCTCAGCTTCCTGCTAATGATCGGAGGCAGCAAGTGATGGCTGCAGTAGCTGGGTCCCTGCCACCCATGGAGGAGACCCAGATTGAGCTCCCAGATCGTATCTTGGGCCTGGGCCAGTTATGGTTGTAGGCACTTGGGGAGTAAACAAGAAGATGGGAGATCTCTCTGTCTCTGACTTATAAATAAATAAAAATCAAGTAAGTGGGGTTGGCATTGTGGTACAGAGGGTTGAGGCCTCTTGCAATGCTGGCATCCCATACTAGAGCACTGCTTCAAGTCCCAGCTGCTCTCCTTCTGACCCAGCTTCCTGCTAATGTACTTGGGAAAGCAGTGGAAGATGGCACAAGTACTTGGATCCCTGCCACCCACATGGAGGACAGCAAGAGCTCCTGACTCCTGGCTCCTGCCTGGTCCAGCCCTGGCTGGTGCAGCTATCTGGGGAATGAACCAGTGGACAGAAGATTCCTCTTTCTCTCTCCCTCTCTCTCTCTCTCACCCTCCAGCTATTATCATGTCCTTTGTTCTTGACTGGTCTACTTTTGCATTAACTGGCCCCCTTCCCCCTCCTGGTAGCCATAGCTTTGATTGTGCTCTGTCTTTAGAATCATCTGGTAAAGCCATGCTCCATCTCTTATTACAATTCTTTGAAAAAAAAAAATGCTTTGGGATCTGGCATAAAATCTTGGATCTGGTATAAAATTTCCATCATAAGCTATGTTCTTCTCTGTAGCTGATCTGGGCACAAACCTTGGTACTCAGCAAGCAGAAATTTTGCCCAACTTGTGTTTATTTGAAAGGCAGAATGACACAGAGAGGGAAAGACAGAGAGAGACAAAGAGATCTTCCATCTGCTGTTCACTCCCCAAGTAGCCAAGATGGCTGGGGCTGGCCAGGCCAAAGCCAGGAGCTTGGAGCTTCATCTGGGTCTCCCATGTGGGTGGCAGGGACCCAAGCACGTGGGCCATCATCTGCTGGATCAGAAGTGGAGCAGCTGGGACTCAAACCATCACCCATATGGCATAGCAGGCACTTTAGCTTGCTATGCCATGACTCTGGCACCAGAAATTCATTCTTGAAAAAAAAAAATACACCTCAACCTTCCTACAGAAAAACAGGCAATGAACAAGAAAAACAAGTCACTGAAAAAGAAATAAAGTGGCATGAGGAAAAAATGAGGATGACACTTTCATCATTACAAGCAGAAAAGTAGAAAATAAATAAATGCTCTGGGACATTTGATAAGAAACATCAGAAGACTTTATCGATGGGGTGGGGTGGGGCGGATTAGGTGAGCACGGCAAGTTCCAGGGATTTCTGATGGAAAGCACTTTCCAGAATGTGCTAACATGAAGGGAATCCTCTGCAGAGTACAGCAGTCTTGCAAAACTGAGTGGATAGATAAAGGAGGCCAGGGAGGCAACATGTCAGAAATGTGTGGGGCAGTCTACCAGAGAAAAGGCAGCCACAGAGAAGGAACAGCAGAAGTCTGCACATGGTCTTCCAAGTTTTTCCTGAACACTAAGCTACATGAGAGTATGGCAAAACTCCACAAAGACAGGCAAAGAACAACGGGAAATTTCTAAGAATTCTCAGAGATCAACAGGGTTAGGAAATGTTTCAGTTCCGACAAGCCAGATTAGAGGGTCTTCATTGAGCACCTAGGGTCACACCTTAAAAGGAGCCCTATTCAACTATTCTAGCCCTAGAATACAGGTTACTTTAAATTTGCCTTAAGAAAGCTTAAGGGGGCCGGCACTGTGGCTTAGTGGGTGCTTGCATCCCATATGGATGCCAGTTCATGTCCCGGCTGCTCCCTGCTATGGCTTGGAAAGCAGTGGAAGATGGCCCAATTCCTTGGGCCCCTACCCTGGCATGGGATGACCAGAGGAAGCTCCTGGCTCCTGGCTTCGGATCAGCCCAGCTCTGGCCATTGCAGCCATTTAGGGAGTGAACCAGAGGATGGGAGACCTCTCTCTCTCTCTCTCTCTCTCTCTCTGCATTTCCTTCTCTCTCTGTATAACTCTGACTTTCAAATAAATAAATAAATCTTAAAAAAAGCTGAAGAACAATCCAGCTATTCAGAAAGCAATGTACTCAAGTGTTAAAACAAAGCTCAATACTTTTTTTTTTTTTTGACAGGCAGAGTGGACAATGAGAGAGACAGAGAGAAAGGTCTTCCTTTTCTGTTGGTTCACCCCCCCAATGGCCTCTGCAGCCAGCGCGCCGTGGCCGGTGCACCGCGCTGATCCGAAGCCAAGAGCCAGGTGCTTCTCTTGGTCTCCCATGCAGGTGCAGGGCCCAAGGACTCGGGCCATCCTCCACTGCACTCCCGGGCCACAAAAGAGAGCTGGACTGGAAGAGGAGCAACCAGGACAGAATCTGGCGCACCAACCGGGACTAGAACCCGGTGTGTCGGCGCTGCAAGGCGGAGGATTAGCCTGTTGAGCTGCGGCGCCAGCCAAGGTTCAATACTATTTTAGCAAGACAATAAATTCAGTCCTTGATAACATCAAATTCATAATATCCAACATCCAGTAAAAAATTACCAGACCAGGCCAGCACTGTTGCTTAGTGGGTAAAACTATGACCTAAGATGCTGGTGTCCCATATGGGTGCTGGTTCACATCCTGGCTACTCTACTTCCAATCCAGATCCTTGTTAATGTGCTTGGGAAAGCAACAGAAGATGGCCCAAGTACTTGGGCCTCTACCACCCACATGAGAGACCTGGATGAAGCTCCTAGCTCCTAGTTTCAACCTGGCCCAGCCCTAGCCATTGCTGCCATCTGAGGAGTGAACCAGTGGATGGAAG